ATCCATCCTCCCATCCTGCAGCTGAACTCCTAATCCATCGAATGGAAGGCGTGTGTGTGACCACTGTACGAACCAGCCCTCACACCAGGGCTGAACTGAATTGCAAATTCATTCAGTTGTCGTCTTTAGCAGTGGTCAGTCACTTCATTGTTGGCCCCACAGCAACGAATGGAGACATAGTTGAATATCTGGTAACTGCAATTAAAAGCTTCTCGCCAAGCCTGGACTTCCATGCAGATTACGGTCCGAGTTACAACAAACCGACTAGGCTCGATTGATAATTCATAGCCGTGTGATATAATTATCCCACATCACTATTCACAAGTAACTGTGAGTTAAATGCGAATTCATAAGTTCGTTAGTTCGCGTAATTCTGTTGTGAAAATGTCACATCCCTTGGTAGGATTCGAACTGGCGTGGTCGGACTAATTGTCCAAAGAAGTGTTGTGAACGGTGAAATTCGGTTACTCATACATTTAATTAGCCGGTGTGTGTGGTCTTCAAAGAACCACTTAGGTATTGCATTCTGACCATTTTCAACTGTGCTGCAAAGCTTTTCTAATTAATTAAACAGGATTCAAACACAGGCAGTAAGTTTTTTCAGTCTGATAAACAAGCTCATTAAGATATGCGGACTGGCCCAAGGGAATTGGCTTCACAGTGACCGTAAAGGATATAAATACCGCTCATTGTTCGTTTTCAGGGTGCCTATCAAGACTGACAGACTCCCTGATGCAGCACTGCTCCCAGTCGATGATCAGGGATTTTGCAAATTTGAGTACCACTGTCTTATTTGAAACAATTTGGGTGATGTTATCTTTTTTAAAAGGGTAAATTTTCCGCTGAACTTGATGTGTTTCAAAACCTCTGATATTGATTATAGATTTTCTCCGAACAAAAGCAGCTTTATTCGGCTTATTCAATTTTTAATCAAGCATACCAGGTTTTCGGTCTCCGGTAGCTTAAGAGAAGAAAATTAAACGAACAGTAGAAGCTCCAAAAAAATGGAATCTACGCTGAGGAATCGATTGACTAAAATGGATCATGCAAGTGAAGGGATGCACAACATCACTCATCAGTGCTATCGGGTACTTCTACACACAACCGGACCAGGCTAATCACGTTCCGCACGGAGAAGGCTTCCGTGACCGAACCCGCAAGTCGCGGAATGGTTGCGTCTACCCGTGCATGTGTCACCATCGGTCTTAAAACCTACCGTCTATATCGAAAATCTATCTGAAGGGATGCACAGCAAACAGGACATTGTCTCATCTTGACTTCCTAGTCCGGTGCACATAGCAACGGTACTGACACCTTGGTCAACTATCCTGATTCTTGCAGTGCTGCGAATATACCGATACTCGGAATATCGGATGCATCGTGAGCACCAGGATATCCGAATATGAAGTGAGTTTTTCCACAACGTGTGACTAATCGAAAACAGCTCACCCCCTCACCTCAAACTGTCTTCTCCGATCCCAGACATCACATGGGTTATGCTCGATTTGGCTCCATCCGTTTAAGAAGTGCCCACGGAACATGAGGATACCACAGTTCGACCAAATGAACCTCTGAATAAAATCTTTTGGCACGTGTACCATTAACGGCGAGTTTGGGAAAACGTATTCACTAAAGTTTTGATGCAAAAGGTAGACTCAAGGTCAACTCGGTGCACCTCGCTCTTTCGGACTAAGTCAATCATCGCTTCTCAGGAGGCGGTTTCGTTTACGATATAGGCTGAATGGGTCAATTTTATGAATTTATCTGGCAGTGTCTCAAACAATGACTTCCTAAGAGACTCAAAAACTGAATTTAGACGAAGCATGGCCAATGTGTTTAGATCGTTTGAAGAAGGATATTCGCTAGACGGTTTTCTGGACGGTAAACTTGTAAGCAATCCAGTCTGCATCAGTCAGATTCTCAAACTTAGATTGGTTGCATGTGGTGGATGATAGGCGAAGAATAATAGCTATGGAAACGTCGGATGATGTGCCGGTTATGTTAACTCTTCTATCAGGGGGAAGATTTGCATTATCACGAAGCACCGCCTCTGTTTACTTGACTGAATACTTGGGCCTACTTTGCTTTCTCAAGTATATATCTCGAAGTCTCAACATGTCCTCAATTTCGTATTACATCGGAAAACCAGGTGGGGTGCTCAAGAGATAGATGTAGGAAGCTTAAACCATTGAATTGGTCAACCAGAAGAAATCTGTCACTTTGAACTATTCGAAGAGAATGCCGAGCGAACGAAATGTTTGGTCAGTGTTCATATGGATCTCAAAATTAAAACCGGGATTCAAATCCTGCAGAAGAAAAAACTCAGTAGTTCTACGTGTTGTTCATAGAGATTTAACTGCCGGGGTTGGTCAGCTAATAAGTGATGAATACTTGTG